ATGTCTATATACAAATGAGGAATAATCCATTTATATTGAATAATAACAGATCTCATAAATCTGGATTATCTCGATCATATTCCACTCATTATATTTCACCTCTAATAGAGGATAAAGATTTTATTCCTAGTCGTGCTTCTACCTCATGCAGTGAACATCCTTATTATGTTTCTACTTCACAAGTTAGTGATGAGAATAATCGTCATGTTGATAAATTGGTAAAAAATAAAGAAAATATTGTTAAAGGTGTTTATAACACCAAAGATGAAGAAATAACTGAATCAGAAATGGCATTTTCAATATGAATAAGATAGATTTTAGTCCAGGTTCTTTGGCTAGAAATCAAGTCAAAGAAGAATTTAATCTTCCAAGATGGGAACCATTTAGAAAATGGTTTTTTCCAAATTTCTCTTTAGAAACACAAAAATTTATTTCGGATGAATTTTATAAGTTTTTATCATATCATAATGTCTTATTTCCATTTGTACCACGGTTTATATCTATTTATATTGAAACACATATATGTGTATTGGAAAGAGATTATAAGCTTTTGAACGGAAATACGCTAAAAGCAATATTTCCTCCACAACAACCTTTTAGAATAGAAAAGGAAAATAATGTTATGAGCTTTTCTGCATATTCAAAATTATTTGAAGATGAAACATTGGTTATAACTGTAAAACAGATGAATAAGATAATAGAACAGAATAATTATATAAATGTTTATTTGAATGTCTTAGGAGAACAAATTTTATCTTCACAAGGTAGGTTAGATAAATTAATACATTTAATAGAAAATAATAGAGATACTAGTCTTAGTAATACTAGAGAAGATGTTGTTGCAGCACCAACTCTTCAACCACCACCTGAAATAAAAGATTTTAAATTGAAATCTTTGTCAGAGTTAGAAAAACTATTAGATACTAAATTTAAAAATTTAAAGATTAATACTCTGGAAGAAGAATTCTCAGAAAAATTAGAAGAAGATAAGAATTATAAAACTATAATAAATGATGAGATTAATAAATTAAATAAGTATGCTAATAAACCCACTCAGAGATTGTATTATTATAATAGACCTTCTCCTGCAAACATTTTACATAAAGAGCAGGAATATATACTAAATAATAGTTACAGTGGGAAGTGTATTTATGAATGGAATATAGATGGATATACCGAAAAACAAATTTATAATTTGGCCCATAGAATGTTAATGTATAGTACTATTTGTAAAACAAATGGAAATAATGATGTAGGAATTGCAAAAATGATAGTTGCAGGATTTACAGGCCAATTAAAGGGCTGATGGGACCATTATTTGTCTCCACAAAATAAAGAAGAAATTTATAGAACGGTTAAACAAGAAGGATCTCAGATTATAGAAAATGCAGTTTATACACTGATTGTTACTATATTAGAACATTTTACAGGAAGAATTTCAGATAATAGTGAAAATATTCGTACTCTATTACAAAATTTAAGATGTAAAACATTATCTGATTTTAGATGGTATAGAGATGCTTTTCTTAATAGAGTTATGGAATTACATGATAGTAATAGTGTTCATTGGAAATCTAAATTTATAGATGGATTACCGAGTTTATTCGCAGAGAGAGTTAGAAGAATTTTAAGAAAAGACAGAATAAATATTCCTTATGAAGATTATACTTATGGAAAATTAATAGGAACTTGCATTCAGGAAGGATTAGCCTTGTGTAATGAAATAAAATTAAATCAACAAATTAAAAGACAGAGATTGACTGAAAGAAAACAGTTAGGTCAGTTCTGTAGTCAATTTGGTATGGAAATTCCATCAGAAAAAAGGATGATAAAAAATTTCAAAAAAGATGATAAGTATTATAAGAAAAACAAGAGAAAATATTCCCAAGAAAAATTAAATAAAAAAACAATAAAGAAAATGAAAAGATTTGAGAATAAGAAAGATAGAGCTAATATAATTTGTTATAAATGTAAACAGCCAGGACATTTCGCAAATAGATGCAAAATGAAGAAAAGAATAAATAGTTTAGATATTAGCCAGGAAATTAAAAATGAATTGATTAATTTGTTAAATTCAGAATCTGAATCAGAAAGCTCAGATGAGGCTGAAATAGATCAGTTAAGTTATACATCAGAAAGCTCAGAAGAAGAAACTGAGTGTTGTGATTCTTGTAAGGGGACTAATAATTGCATAAAAGGAATTAATGATGAAAATGAAGAATTTTATAGAATTATATCTCAATTCAAAGAATCAGATATTAGTGTTTTAACCAGTAATAATATTCTGGAATTCTTGAGATCAATAAAAGATCAAGAGTTAAGATCAAAGATAATTGAACAAGTTAGTGATATTCCAGGTAGTAGTAATGATGAATCATTAGAGATAGATAATAATCCATACACAATGGATAAAGTATATAAAATGCTCAAAGAAAAATCTAATAGGATAGAAAAAGCTCCTACCACGGTAAGTGATTTAGGAGAAGAGATTAATAATCTTAAAGAAGAAATAAAAATTTTGAAAAAGCTTAATAAAAGTTTAGATGATAGAGTCTCTAATTTAGAAAATAAGAAACAAGTAGATTCCTATAAAAATATATTAATAAGTGAAACAGGAAATGAGAATTTTTTAGGATCTTTAGATTTAATCACTTCCTTTAAATTTCATGTTATTATTAAATTACTAATAGATCATGATTATCAAATAGAATTAATAGCACTAATTGATAGTGGTGCAGATGTTAGTGTTATACAGGAAGGAATAATTCCCACTAAATATTTTGGAAAAACTACTCATGTGGTAAGACATGCTGGTGGAAAAGCATTAGACATAAATTATAAATTGTCTAAAGGATATATTTGTAATAATTAAGTTTGTATCCCTGAAAGTTTCTTAATAGCTAAAAATATAACTAGCCAAGTTATACTTGGAACTCCTTTTATAAAGAGGATTTTCCCTATTACTCATATTGATATCGATAGTATCACAGGAACATATGATAAAAAACTTGTATCTTTCAAGTTTATAACTGAACCTAATACAAGATTTATCAATGAACTTAAAGATCTTATTTTTAGAAAGAATAATCAGATTAATTTCTTAAAATTCGAAATTAATATATTTTCAATTGAAGAAGATTTAAAAAATCCTAAATTACAAGAAAAGATTAAGAAAATATATAATAATATCTCTACTGAGATTTGTAATGAACATCCTAATGCTTTTTGGGATAGAAAAAAGCATGTAATTAGTCTTCCCTATGAAGATGATTTTGATGAAAAAACAATGATTAAGACAAAGGCAAGACCTTGCCAAATGAATTCTGAATATTTGGAATTATGTAAAACAGAGATGAATATGTTATTAGAAAAAGGATTGATTAAAAAATCAAATTCTCCATGGTCATGTATTGGTTTTTATGTCAATAAACATAGTGAAATAGAAAGAGGAAGATCAAGGTTAGTAATAAATTATAAACCTCTTAATAAAGTATTAAAATGGATTAGACACCCAATCCCAAATAAAAAAGATTTATTGGATAGATTATATGATGCATTAATATTTTCTAAGTTTGATTTAAAATCTGGATATTGGCAAATTCAAATTAATGAGTCAGATCAATATAAAACTGTTTTTAATGTTCCAGTCGGTCACTTTGAATGGAAAGTAATGCCATTTGGATTAAAGAATGCACCTTCTGAATTTCAAAAAATCATGAATGATATTTTCATTCCTTATAGTGAATTTATCATTGTATATATTGATGATATATTAATATTTTCTAAGGAGATACAATCACATTTTGATCATTTAAATATATTTCAAAAATTATCTTTCATAATTGTTTTGGTTAGTTTAGGTTAAACTACTTTGATGTATTTGCACAAGATTGCCATTTTATTGAATTGATGATTAGCATCCAAACTCTTGAATTGTAGGTTTAAACAAGAAAAATCAGTGACTCCTAACTGGTCTTTGCGTGAGGGACACTATTTTGGTGCTCTGGCAGTTTGAATGTTCATAAAACTGCAACGTTATTCATAAATCATCAATACAATGGGTTGCTATTTGTTCTTAAGTCTTAACCCAATCAGTACCACATGTTTGTTTAGCAAACTATTACCAACAAGGAGTCAGAATTTGCTTAAGTGTATTTGGGACTGTAAAATTGTGAGAGATAGAATAATTGAAAGAGAGATGTAAGCATATGAGAATAAAAATTAATCCACATTGTAAGAACATCACAACATCGACGAGGGTCACAAGTCCTAAAGTCCTCAAACAAACTCCCCGTTTTGGGAGGGAACAAAAAATGCAATCCAAATCATAAGATTTGAACAGCATTACCAATTTTACCATCTAGATTTTACCACCCAATTATTACACATTAAAAGCATGAACTACTCAGCTGCCCTCTTGGGCGAACTTTGGTCCTTTACCTTCCCCAAATCTTGTAAGCAAAATATAGACGTACTATCTTCCCTCAACAAAAACTGATGTTTAAACAAAGATCACCAAAGGTCCCGGCAAAATTAAGCACATAAAATTTACCAGGTCTTTCAATAATGCTACATACCATCAACATGGAAACCTCAAATTTTTCACCCAAAAATGCTATTTGCGTGCTAGTTTACAAGACTTCTCGGATAACCCAGTAGCGACAAATCATAATCTAGTGCAACTCAACCCTCTCTATAAAATATCATTAACCTTGGAGAAAATACAATGTAATCATCAACCTTGATGATTTAATGTAGAAGGTAACAAAAAGATTTGTTATTGATGCAGTTCCATAAAATTACTCCTCTAATCTAGTGCAACTCAAACCTCTCTATAAAATATCATTAACCTTGGGAAAATACAATGTAATCATCAATCTTGATGATTAATGTAGAAGGTAACAAAAGATTTGTTATTGATGCAGTTCCATAACATTACTCCACTAGAGTAGCAACCAAGAGTACCCTATTTCTCATATACCAAACATCATTATCATCTCTCACCTTTTTTTATTGCCCTTCTTCCTTCCTTTAACTTGCCTTTCCAAGCTCTTAATTTTCTGGCTAAGAACCGACGAAGACGGTATTCGCTGCTCTTGACTTAAACTTTGTTGAACTGGTGTAGCAGGTGGCTGCTGCTGACTTGAAGCTTTCGAACCTCCAGCAGCTGATGACAGGGTTTGTTGACGTTGCATTTCAGCCTGTGCCGCAGCATATTTCTTAATACCCTCAAAGAATCCTAAGGAGGGTTTTTGTCCAGAAGTAGAAGGTGGTGGCGGAGTAATTATAGGAATACCCAATGCTTTTTTTACCGCATGATTCCGGATTACTGAAAGCATGACAGAATGGAGTTAAAATAAAACCTTTAAGGAAGGATTACCAGTTGAATTAATAAAAAGCAGAGCTTGAATGGATGCTTAAGTAAATAAATAGATAAAGAAACTCACCAGATCCATACATGAGCGAGAAGATGTTGGCTGTAATCCAATAAAAAAATATTCCCTGTAGAGGTTTGCAACACTGAATTGTCAGCAACCATAAAGGAAGAAACCGGACAAAGATCCAAGCAATCCACAAAGAAAAAGGACCGCCAAAACCGACGTATGATTTTGAGGGAAAGGGCCACATGACTGACAGCATGCATATTGGCACACAAGCTATATTCATTCTGATACCTCAATTAGTTATAGAAGTGCACATATTTATGGAAAATACATTATTAACAGGAAAAGACTAAGCAAACCCAAATTTGCGGGGGCAGGAAAAGAAAAGTAGCATTCTTATTATTGATAGAAGTGATGATGCTCTCGGTGAAACCCTAATGTAACAAAACATACATAGTGATATTGAAATACAAAAGACAAAATTACAATTACACTACTCAAGAGGTATGAAATAACAAGGGATAATTACGTATTATCTTCTGTCATTTCACTATGTAAATTCAATGAGAGGATCATTACACTTAATACCAACTGCAATGTGAATACTCAGGCAAAACCGCAAAAGACAAACATGTAAACCAGAATACGAACATATCATAAGCATCATGCTTTCTATGTACCTTTGCAAAGGTTGAAGTCAAAAAAACTGTAGCAACCGCAAAGCCTCGCGAAACATTTTTTATGGTGTTAGCAGCAGGATTTCCTTCCATTCCGTCTTGCATATTGCACTAAAAAAGTTTATTAAACAAAAAAAGAAAATCAACTTACAAATTAAAGTTGATGATAAAAGCTCGTGGGAGAGAACGAGAAGAGTGAGATATAGACTTCTACTGGCATGATAGAGACTGGTAACTCTCCATGTAATTTATAGGTCAGCATTTCTTTAGCTTAACGCAAAAAGATCGCGGACAAGGTTGATTTCGATTTTGTTCAGCTTCTAGTGGCCCCATAATCATTTTGGTTGAGAAATTCAGAGTCTAAAATATGAAACATCTTGCTAGAAAAATTCTACAACTAATTGGATTACAGATATCTCAACATACCTCCACAGTAATCCAAAATGTCAACCCAGTTAAAACTGGCAAAATGTACATGCTGTCTGGAGTAGTCAAATCAGTAAACCAGAATGCTCCGCCCTCCTTAAAAGATGGAACTTTTTCAACCATGTTATTGATCTGCATATTGACAATATGTAATGTTAGAAGAATCAACTTTCTGAATAACATACATATCTTGTATTCCAGGTCCACCATAGAAAGAAAACTCTTACAGCAACGAAAAAGCAGATAAAGACGGGGCCTTGAATTAGAAGTCCTTTCAGCGGAGTGAATGGTGTAACCCCATATCTGTAAACAACCAGGTATAAACCCACGTAAGCAAAAAACTTTTATAAAATAACAATGAGGACATATCAAACTAAAGAGGCCGTTTTCTTCTCTTTCCTTGCTAACAGATTTGAAACAAAATTATGACTTGAAAAGAAAGCATGAAATGTCTATTCCCACTGCTTTATATGAAGTAACTTTAACTAAAAAAACAAAAAGGCATACTCCTTGAATAATTTCTTCATCTCTGTCTGACCTTCAGCAACAGCAGTAGGGCTCATTCCCTGGACAATTTTGAAAAGTATAATGGATCACATCAGTACCAGGCCAAAATTTACATCAACTTTATCTGAAACACAGATATTATCATTTTGAGACAGATGAATAGCAAAATACTGTCGAATAACTGCTACATCAAAGAAAAAAAATTTAAGTACTCTACCAAAGGATAGAAAGGACATAAAACTGAAAATATTTCAGAGCCAGTGACTGGCATATAATTTGAAAACAGCATGTCAACAAAGGAATTGTTATATATACCCTATTCTGCATCTCTTCCTTAATCTCCTCCAATTTTGGCCGCAGAAGCTGCAAAGAATAAGCGCAAATAAGAATATTTATTCAAAAACTAAGCAAAAACTTGCTACATCATGAGGTGCTCAAAATCTAAAAGCTACCAATATGCATGACATGTCAGCAAAAAAAAAATGATAGTTGACAAAGAGCTTTGAGGTAGTAGGCAGACAATAAGAAACAAGTATAACCCGATGGTAGCTTGATAAAGGTTTGCCTATTGATGACTATGCTTTAACTTAAAATATGGGATCGACCATGATCAAAATCACCATTTTGTTCTGTCAAAATATATTTTTCCATAAAATTTCATATATTAGGCCTTATGTTAATACTTTCTTTCCAAGTCTTCTTAGTATTTCGTTCCCCCTATTGATGAACCGAAAGAAGACACAATGAGCTAGGCAAGTGAAGAAACTTGCAACCCAAGTAACATTGCAATTGTACAATAATATTGGTCACCCAAAATTCAAATGAACCAATTTGCATCAGTAACAGCTATCTCAGAGCTATGAATCACAACACTTTCATAGGAATTTAGATATCCTGTTCCAGTAATACACTTTACACTACACATAAGATTTGTCTTTACGAAAATTGGTAAAAGTTAAAGCTCTCCAGACTGGATTTAAGAAGATAATGAAACTTGAATGTTCAGGTTCTACAACAGACAGAAAAAGACACAAACTATAATTGCTTGTAAAACACAAAACACATTGAACTGGGTTACAGATACCATTTAGATAATGCTACATGTCAAAAATTCGAAAGATGTTAATGAAAGTCCAAAAAACGAACAGTTGTCCATAACAAATAACTGCCAAGAAATAACAGATCAAGAAAAACTTACAGTAAATTTAGTGGTAGCTTTCAGCTGGTGTATCAGAAGTGGAACAGTACAAAAGCGAATCAAAATGGTCGTCGCGGCAATTGATGCCCACCTGATAAAGTGTAAGACGTGCCAAAATGTTACAATAAGCATTTTCCAAACAAATCCCATGTTTGCGTAGAGAAACAAAGGTCAAACTGGCAATCCTTTCATATTTACCTCAGGATACACATAAATAACAACTAGAAAAGACTAAATATTGCTTTTCAAAAGATCAAATGAACAGATCATCCTCATTATTCTATACAGCCGAGAGTAGAATTAGGGTCCTCGGAGCAGCTATTATTGGCTACTCAGGAGTACCACATGAAATCAGTGAAAAGAAGAGAGGATAGGGTGAACCCCCCAAGTCTTCCTAGTGACACTACCCACAGAACAAGGCCCAGCAGATATAGATACTTTACGAGTCAAATCAAAATCCCATCTTTGCAATGAAAGCAAAATAAATTAAGTATTAACTTAGTGAACAACTGCCAGCGCCTTTACAATTAGCCGTAGCAGATTACAAACTAAACCTCAACATTCTATTTCTACAACATTTCTTATCTTCAAATGAACACATATTAAGCAATAACTTTACTGGGTCAGTAAAGAGCACCAAACAACACTAGATAATGCAGTTGGAACAGGAATTGATCATTTAATTTCTTTTGGAATAATATTTTCCTTCCCCTTTACTTGAAGATGATTTCAACAAGAAAAAGCGTTATCCAACTATGTTGGATAGGCAACATGCAACAATTTCTATCAATATACACATTCTCATCAACGTTCAGAAGTGTCTTTTGTGTTTTTCAATATTTTCTTTCCAAAGTTAAGGTCTTTCCCCTTCCCAATCCCCTTCTCCCCCAAATATGATTCGTCCAAACAACCTCTTGCTGCAAAGGAACAGCTGATACACTAGGCCTTCGAAGCCCCACCCTTCCATAGACCTGGTATGCAGGAGCTTCCGTGCACCCTCAGGCTGCGCTTTTTTGACAATTACTATTTTCGACATGCTTGTACTAATATATCCTACGCAGTAGTTGTTTTTAAGATGATTAACAGTCCAAAAATTTTAAAGGTGCCTAACTAATCAGCAACTGAGTGTGGCAGTATAGATCAAGCTAAACCATAAAAGAGGCACCCTACACTCACCAATTTGATCCATTAAACGTGTGAATATAATCGATAAAATGCTGCTTTAAGTTAAACCAGAAAAGAGGTAACCTATACTCACCAATTAAATCCGGTAAATGTGTGAACATAATCGATGAAATGCTGCACAGCAGCAACAGGAAAAAAAGAATCAGCGGCCGCGGCGGCGACCTCGCTAACCCCGGGAGCTGCCTGCGTGACAACATTGTCAATAGCACCATCACTCAAGACCTCGGCAACATCACCCATGAACTCCACCTTATCAGCCGCCGCCCCTCCGTCGACTCCGGTAGACATACTTCTGCCGAAAACAATTGATCCATAACTCATCGTATTCATGAACTGGGCAGATGATGGTGAACCCTTTTGGAAGCCATTAAAGCGGTTAAATCTGGAAGCTGGGATTGGGGACTGAAGGAAAGATGGGATTTTTCTGGTGGAAGGAGTAGAATTTGAAGAGGTTTTCTTCGGAGAATCATGTTCATCGTCTTCGCGACGGCTATTAATCAGAGAAAATGAAGGGGAAAATCGTTGTTCTTGGTAGAGGGGCTTTGTTCGAGATATGATGCACCGTCTGAAAGCCATTATTCCCCTTTGCTTGAGAAAGATACTATAAAATGTCGGAGATCGGTAGAGTTAAAGATTCAAAAACATGGTGGAGAATCCCTTTATGGAGTGAAGATATTGGATTCGATTTTGATTGTGAACTGAAGAAGAAAAGGGGTTTGGGGGTTTTGCGGTAATGGGGTTTTGGACTTTTAGTTCTTGTTTTTCTTTTCTGGAAAAAGAAATTGAGTGGGAAATCCCAGAAATTCTCTGATGCTAGTGTATTCTTTTTCAATTTTTCTTTTTTCTTTGAAAGTTGATTTCTCTTCATCAAAAAACCAATTTTATTTTATTTTCTTTTTAACGAAATCAAAGTACCAATTATTTCCATTATAAATTAGAGAAGACTTAAATTCATCAAGAAAACCTTTAGAGAAATGGAATCCCGTATTATTAAAGGAATCTTTAATTGCTTTTTGACATATTTAAAATATTCATTGGAATGGACAACGTTTCAAATTTGAATTTGATGATTCCTGCAATTTTTTTTTCACAGATATGAGAACAAAATTTTAAATTTTGAATAAATTAAGAAAAAAATAACTTGCACAATCATTTTTCATAAAATGGTTTACATTATCATATAAAGGTTTCAACTTAATTAAGATATACTAAATGAATTTCCTTAATTATTAAATTTTAAGATTATAAAAATATACTGAAGTATTTATGTTGAATTATCGTTATTTGGTATGAGTAATCTCATTATTAAGTAAAAGTAATCGTTTATTTATAGGTTTTTCATGGAACAAAGTAATGATTGAAAACTGAATCAAATCACCATTACCTTCGTTCCCTTTACAGCACAATCCTACACTTTGCTAGCAGAGCACATCAATCCATCCCCTTTCCCAAAAAAAATAAAAAAATAAAAAAATATCTATAGGTTTGATTTGATGAATTTTAATTATGTTTTGATAAGACTGAGTGAAGTTTTTTTTTTTTTCTAATCATGTGTGATTAATTTTGTGTATAAATTTGAATTTGGTTTCTTACAAACTTTCTTGGTTATCCTTATTCGAGATTTGGTATTTCTCAACTTGGATGCTGAGTTTGCGATCATTTTTTAAACAAATCGATGGGTATCTATCACAAGATAGGAATTTAATTGACACAATCTAATAAGATTTCGTCCCTAAAACACTTTTTCCATTCTTCTTGTCTATCATATTTTTTAATAATTTTTTTTTCGATTTATCCTTAAATCAAAATATTCCTAGAGTCATTGATTGTTTTGACGAGTTATAAGTGAAACAAGAAGAATTCTTGGTGCCATAATTTGATACAAGTTTCTACCATTATAAAATATCGCTCTGTTAGATCGAAAGCTTCATATAAGAAGGATTAGATTTTAGGGATTTTATTTAACACATTAACATTATATACACAAAAATATAACTTTTTTTCTTAAAAATTCTATTAATTTATAATTTTTTTATAACATGATGGCAAATCATTATATCCTTAACATATACACTGGGCCAGGGCCATGCAACTAACTTCTATATATATATATATATATATATATATATATATATATATATAATATATATATGTTAATGAGCAGGCATGTCCACGGTTTTTGAAATCAAACTGAAACCGAATCAGCAATTGTGATTTCATAATCAGAATCGTAAGTGACGGTTTTAAAAACCATTACTAAACCGCATAATGAGAGTTCGGTTACAACAAATTCTAATGTTTATCAAATTAAAAATCTGAGGTTCTAACAGAAAATCGTAATAAATGGTTAGTTGTTCATCAATGATATCAACATATAAGGTAACCGTTGGCTAATCTGTTGCCTTTTCTTTTTTTTCACACAACCTCACATTGCCTTCCAAAAAAGAAATGTCAAATTAAGATCATCTTTTTATGTATCAAAAGCATATTGAATTAGTCGATATTTTATGCTTCTACATTTCACTTGAACAAGATTAACATGAACTATCTCTCTAGATCTAGATTGGATAAACACGATTATGATAATCCACTTTTTGTGGGGTTCACAGGCGGTGATATTAACATATAAGGTATGTAACATCCTGTCCCACATTGCTACCTGACAAAGCGAACGACCTGTACATAACCTTACTACTAACAACTTGGGTTAACCATTTTGGGCTAGCAAGGACGAAAGTCTGAAATTTGTTGAGCCGGTCTATGAGGTCGGGATGTTACAAATGGTATTAGAGCAGACCCTAGTCTAGGAGTTAAGTGCTACGTGCAGATAGACCTTTGAGCCCACTGACGGGACAAGTGCAGAGACACCTCTGAGCCTGCAAATGGGACAAGTACAAAGCACGGGAGCTACCTCTAGAGTCCTATTCTAGGGAAAGACTAGGCCATATTCTTACTTGTTGGGCTTTGCGAGGACACAAAGATCCAAAGGGGGTGGGCTGTAACATCCTGTCTCACATTGCTACCTGACAAGGTGAATGACCTGTATATAAGTCTCAAGCTCATAAACTACTAACAACTTGAGTTAACCATTTTGGGTTAGCAAGGACGAAAGCCTGAAAGTTGTTGGGCCAATCTATGAGCCTGGGATGTTACAAATGGTATCAGAGCGGACCCTAGTCTAGGAGTTAAGTGCTACATGCGGACACACCTCTGAGCCCACTGACCCGACAAGTGCAGAGATACCTCTGAGCCTGCAGAAAAGGGACAAGTGCGAAGCATGGGAGCCACCTCTAGAGTCCTATTCCGTGGGAAGACTGGGCCACATTCTTGCTTGTTGGGCTTTGCGAGGATGCAAAGATCCTAAGGGGGTGGGCTGTAACATCCTATCCCACATTGCTACCTGACAAAACGAATGACCCGTATATAAGTCTTAATCTCAAAAACTACTAATAACTTGGATTAACCATTTTGGGCTAGCAAGGACGAAAGCATGAAATTTTTTAAGCCAGTCTATGAGGCTGAAATGTTACAAGGTACCTCTTTGTACTCATGTGAAATAATACCTTAGCAGAAACGGCAATGGCATTTTTCTTTTTCTTTTGTGTTGAAATGCTTTTAAAGGTTTAATGAGAGATTAAAAGGTGGGGGCAAGTTTTATTGCTTGGAGGATTGAAGGTTAGGGTCACAAAGACTGATTAAGAACAGAATGGTCGGTCTTTTATTAATAAGGTTAACCTTTATGAACTTGACGAAGCTGAATTCTGTCTGTCGATTGAACGGTGGAACTTCAGTTAGACTTTGTGGTCTGCAAGAAAAAACTGTTAGGTTCTAGGCGTATCAACAATCATGCAGTGGAAATATTACTAGAACCCTAGCCACAAGGTCCATTGGAATTAGACTATAGTAATAGTAATACATACCTTTCAGCGATGTTACTTTGTGCTTAACGCAAATCACAAGAGGACAATAACTAGCAGTCCTCCTCTATCAGAAATCTACTCAACCAACTGAGTTGACTTCGGACTACTCTCTCAACTGGCGTGCTAGCAACGATTTCGAGAGGACAGTTGGTATTTTGACTGAGTGTTTAGGCGTGTGTTTTAGGGTTGTCTATCACTACGTATTTATAGACTAATACGTAGTGAAACCCTAACCGCAACCCTAATCATCATATTACCAATATGACCCTCATTAATTTAGTTACGAATTAACTTTGAATCCATATTAAACTAATAACCAAACTCAAGCCCAAATCCAATTGGTCTAAGAGTGTGACACAAATAGTGGCAGTAATTATAATGTTTTGACTTGGAGCAAAACCAACAAAAACCTCGGGGGTCTCCCGAGGGTCGATATTCCTATTTATATACATGGGATTACCTTGTGGATGTTCGAATCCTACTAAGTCTTATATTGGTAAACCACCTTTATGGAGTCGGTTGGACCACATATGATCAATGGGCCGGGTTCGTTATCCCGATGTGGATATAGACTCGTCAGAAATGAAAGATGTATGATTAGATTATAAGGACTTAATGTTTAATTAGTTATCGCGTTTATATGATACATAAAGAAGACGCATGCTATGAAGGGAAGAGTTAGATGATATAATCTTTGTTTGTGTGAATGATTTTTTGAAGTTTTTTAATATATATAAATAAATAAATGAGAAAGAACTCATAAAACTTATGCCCTTCTTAATAATTTTCATCTTTGTGATGCCCTAAACAAAATTTTCTTTTATTTATTTTGCAAGTCATGAGATGGATTTGTCCAATTTAGATAATTTTAAGAAGTAAATAATTTATTTTAAAATTTTGGGATGAATTTGCAAACTCTATATAACAGTTGGGATGTGTAGACCAATATTCCATATCTATACTATGAGTATAATATAAATATACTCACCACTAATGTTTCTTCTTGGGGTAGTTTTCCATTCCGATATCACAGCATTAAAATGAACCATACTAAGGACATAATAAGGAATAAGAAGAGAAAGAGGGACAATATGAGAGAAATTTACAGAGAAATCATATCTGTCAACATTGAATTAATATGAGCAAACTGGGATCAATGCCCTTAACACGCCAATCACAAGGCTTTAAAACGGGCTAACTTTACTCATATAATTCATAGCCAGTTCTAATAACTCTTACCCTCTTCAAAATGATTCTCTAATCATTCCATTATTCTATCATTAACATGATCAAAACTACGTCTGAACAAACAATTACTTCATCTTACCGCAACCACCAGGCTATTAGCCTATCATTATGAATTTAAAACAACAATATGAAATTAAAGACAAGAAAAATAAAAATAATTACAAAGGAATTCACAAAGGAGCAGAGCTCTTCTTCTTGAAATTTTAAACTGAGAAAATATTTTACAAAGGGAAGGAGAGAGAAAACTAAAAGGAGAAAGAAAGAGTTGATGTCCAGTTTGGAATTTATGATCCCTATTTATAAGACTCTTCCTTACTACTGTTATGAATTTCAAAATTTTCTTTTGAATTCTGTACAGTATTACAATAGTACTAACATATTATCACAACATTCAGCACTATTACAATA